CTAGGAACAAAGAGAAGGAGAGGTACAGCAGCATATTTGGGCTGGTGCGTTTTCTTTCTTTTATTCTTTTTAGACCCTTGCTTCCTTTTCTTCCCCAAAAATCAACTTAATACAATGGCACACTTCCTGTATTGCCCCTACACTAAAAATATTGCATCATTTAGCAGTTTGGTTGAAGATAAGGAAGACAGTTCCTATTATAACAATTCTCCATTTTATTATTTCACCGTTTCCAAATCTGTGAAAATTTGCACAATGGTTGAGGATAAGGAAGGGTGAAGTCATTTTGTCAGCAGAACTCAGAATTCTAAATTCAAATCATATTTTCCAATCAACTGATATCTATGGAGATTCTCAGTCATCCAGGTCACAATTGTCCCAAAGGTGCCTTTTCAAGAGGCAATTGGGCTTTTTTTGCATTTTCTTTGAAGAGGTTTAACATCTCATCCAAGAAGCTTCTTGAGCTTTACCCACCATCCAGTCAGAGCTGAAGAAACGTCTTGGATGAGAAGCAAAACATCTTCAAAGAAAAACAAGGAAGTGAAAAAGCACCTTTCGGATAATCCACTGATAGAGGAAAAATATCAGTATTTACAAATAACTTTTTAAGCTATCAACATATATAGACATTTTCATTTTTCCTTATTAGTTATCTTTAAGATTTTTTTTCACAACCCAAAGTTAGCTTATTTCCATAACATATAAAATTAAATGACACCATGTCTGTTAGTGGGGAGGACTGAAAAACATTAGAAGAAGAAACAGTCAAGAAGCAAGGATGAAGGCAAAGTTGCTAGATATTTTTTTTAAAAAAAAGACAAAAAGGAGTAGGCAGTTATGACAGTTGTTACTCCATCCACAGAGAAGTACAACTATTCTGCGATGATATTTTGGCTATTTTCACTAACAGCCTGTCGTATGTTCCCAAACATCCTTTTTATTAAACAAATAGTTACCACAGCTGCAAAACCAGCAACTTTAAAAAATGCCTTGACCGTCAGATTTATCATTTAATCATCGGAAGTGGGCAAATGTTCCAAATCAACAATGAAACAAATGAACAATGAAAGCGGTAATAATTCTCACATTTAAGGAAATTGTATTTGTTGACCAACTCCAGCATGACATACATATTCCACGGTTCAGTGCCCATTACAGGCTGCTCACTTGAGGGCAAAAATAAATGTGAAATAAAACACATCCACATTAAGCAAATTATACAATAGGTTTTTTTTAATTGTTAAATACTTGAACTATAACAATTTTAAGGCATAATTCCATTTTTAAATCAGATGCTTTAAAATAGTAAAACTGGTATGTTCTACTACTAAAGGAAAAAGATGAATTGCAAGTAGGTTAAAATCATGAATTTCTCAATGTGGAGATCAGGAAAAAAAACCTGACTCAACAGAGAAAAAATATCTAAAAGAAAAAGAAAAGCCTTGTTAAATAGCTTTGACAAGTGAGCTAATGAGCAAAGTCTGAAAGTCTGCACAATTTTAACAATTTTACAATATTCTATCTATACTTCTTTAAAAGTGCAGTGCTCTATGGAAAACGTTGGAGTTGAAGAGCTTATAGGGTTTGGTGGAATATTTGCAACAGTCTTCCAAAGAATTACCAAGGCAGAGAAATGTCTGCATAGCATTTTATACCTCCCCATAAAGAACCATATTTCTCCCAGTATCAGAACATTATATCAATCCAAATATAGCAATATTGTCATTCATGTTTAAAATCTATGAATTCTCCAATATGGAGGTCAACAGAAGATAAACATCATAGAAAAACAAATAACTAAAAGAGAGAGAGAAAGAGAGAAAAGCATTGTTTAAAAGATTTGACAAGTAAGCTAATGACCAAATTTTCTAGGGAATGTCTAGGACCCAGGGAAAAACAGCATTGACTAATATTTTGTACATAAGTCTGTAAGAAAAGGTAACATATGATATAATTTAATCTCAATCATATCAGTATATGCTCCAGCTGCAGACAATCACAAATCTCTCTGTGTTTTCTTTTTACTCTTCACAGGATGTTCTCCCACAGGAACAATTTCTATCTAAAATCCATGTTCTGTACTGCCCAAACTCACTCTATGATCACTAGAAATGAGCATAGCGCTTCCAAAAACCAATTGTTTTCCAGACATGAAAACAGAATGGCAAAGCAAATTATATATAATATTCTCTTATTGAAATGGACAAAATTTCACAGAACAGTTTCTCATGTTATTTGACAAGCTCAAATCAGAACAAACTAAGAGAAAAGGCAACTAGGCATAACACAATAAAAGATATTACCTTCACAATGTATTATTGCTGCCAATTATATCATTTCAGCTTAATTTCAAAAGCACAATCACGCTCAACTGTAAGGTTTTTTTTTAAATTTCAAACTGTATTACATTAAGGCAATAACTCACCTTCCAGCAAGAATATTGGTCTCTCTTATTGCAAAAATACATTTCATAAATACTTCATTGACAAGTTAAGCTAATTCAGGTTAATTTTATTGTATTTTGGTTCTATCTCACATTTGTGTGCAATTACCTCTATAATTTTATTGCTACACCAGAAAATAATCATACCAATTATTTGAAAAAGAAAGCATATAAATTCTAAGTCACAGTTGCTGGCATTTTTGATAAAATAGCAGCTTTATCTCTGAAAGTGGCAGGGACATCAGATAAATCATGCATCAGTCAAGTGCAGCTGACCCCCAAGTGCATTGCACAATATCAGAAGTGCTTCAAAAGAAACTTTCCTGGATCATCCATCATCCTCCATAATACTAAAATAGCTACACCTGAAAAGTCAGAACTAGAGGATAATAGTAATAATAATCCATCCAAGCAGTATGTGTAATCCTATTAACAATATTTCTCTTTAACTAAACTGAGCTATGATACACTTAAATTGGCGCATAAGCAAATAAGACTATTTCCATTGCCATTGTTAAACAGATTCAGACAATACTTTTGCAATAATTGTAAAATTGTCATCTATATAACATATACAAAATCTTATGCTAAAATAAATTGTATATTCATATAATATCTGCTAATCTTAAAGAGATTGGTCAAATATTTCCAAAGAAGATTGTTGTTGACATTCTGAATTGTAAACGATATGCAGGTGGCTATAAATCCTAACATTCATAATACAAAAGAACAAGGAAAGCTGAGTTTGAAATTGGGCTTTTGTAGAACTAATGCAAGAACTAAGAGACTAGGCAGGAATTGATGTCATATTCTTAACATCCAAAATACAGCACAATATAACAATTTATATATTCACTGAACTTTTTATCATACTAGTACAGCAAACTTACCTAATTTAAGAGTGAAATAAAATGTTTTTAAAAAAAGCTAAAAGTGAAACCAGGGAGAGGAACAGAATTAAAATGAAGAATTTTTATATCTTCTACTTCAGGGATATCAAACTTGCGGCCCACAGGCTGGATGCGTCATACACTGGCTGAGGCCACTCCGGTTTAGCAAAGAGAAAAAAAGTTGTGATAGTCATGTGACAACAATGTGATTCAGCCAGTTACCCCTACTCTACAGGTTATAAAACTTCCCAACCCATTTTAATAGGAAAAGCTAGGATATATAAAATCACAGTATAACTTTTTATGCTCATTAACTATGAAAAAATGCTAATTATTACCAATGAATTAAGTGTGAGGGAGTTTGTACTGAACCTGCATTTTGAAGCTATGTATCCTGTCCAATATAGGAAAGCATATAATGACAGCCAGATTAATCAGGTTAAATTGTGGAAAACAGTCTATTCGCAATTATAGCTTCCACAAATTAAATTGAAGAAGACTTATTTATTGTTCTATGGCACTTTGGTGGTCTCCCTAAAATTACATTTTCCCCTTGCCCAAGAATGCTAGAGCTGGGACAAAATTCAGGAGTGATCCTATTTCAATAGATTCTATTCAAGCCATTATTGATTGGCAGTAATAGTATAAACCCAATAACTCTAATTCTACATGCATATTTTATATTATCCTGCACATAAAATAATATATAAAATAATTGTGTGTGCCTTCACTTCTAAGTGAAACATAAAGGACAAATTTATGTAGTTTTTATAACTTTCCACAGATTTAAGCAATTGAGGCACATATGAATAGACATTTAGACAACATTACAATTCATTAAGACTATCATGTAAAGTCAAAAATATTAAAATAAATTTAAGGAAAAATGTTATAATTTCATATTTATCATTGTTCTATGATTTTCTTCTTTTGAAGTGTGGAATTGGAGAAGGCATACCCTAAATCACACCAATCTGTAGAAACTGTCGAATAAATTAAAAAGCAGATATTCCTACATCTGATGGATTTGACTGCTGTGTGATTTGTAAATATGAGTTGCACTAGATTAACACACATTCTAAACAAGCTCTCTTACCATCAGAAAGAGACGGATGAGGGAGAGAAAGAAAAGAATATTTTTCAAGTAATATATGCATACCTTATGATTTTTCTAACGTATTCTGCATTTAAATGGGACATCAGCTACCAATGCTGCTGTTCGATGAACAATTATTAAAATATGGTGCTCTATAGAATTTATATACCCATTAAATACTCAGAATATCAAACACTACACATGGATACATGATATCAATGTGAAAACAAAACTTTAGGTTTTATTTCTTTTGCTTTTCAGAAGATTAATCTAGTCACAGGACAGAAAAGGCTCAGTTAACCCTAAAAAGTATAGCAATGTTCAATTAGGTTATGCTCTGTGGAAGATAAATATGTGATGCAGAAAGGTCTACTGCTGCCTGTTACCAACCATGACAGAGTTACTGAGATTTACAATGCAGCATCAATCTTGTTGACTGGATTTTTAACACTAACTGCTGGACATTGGGGAAGGATGCCAACTTTGTTATGTGAATTCTTCTCCAACATTATTACTTTGTGCGTGGACTTAAATGCACTATTTTTCTCCCATCATCCTTACAGCAACTTACTTGTTTACGCAGTTCTGAAGCCATGTCAAATGCCTAAGAGAAAAGAAAAGAATGAAACTCATTAGGAAAAAAAACACCACAAAAGCATTCATTTATACGCAGCTATGTACAAAAATGGCATGGCTCCATAGTATGTCTTCTTTTATCATATAGAAACTCACAAAAAGCTGGTTTCACATTTTACAGCCTAACACAGAAAATGGAGGTTTTCTTTCTATTGAGAAAACAGGAATTTTGAAGTTCAGCAGGTCATTTATCATCTGTAATGAGTCATAATCAACAAATGACTATATGAAGCTTTCTCTCATCGCTTGTCTTGTGAAATAAAAATTCACAGGAAAGAACAGCAACTTAAGATCCATTCAAAAACCTGTAAAAATAGTGCATTCCAGATGAACTATATATTTGAAGACTCCTGTTTACCACTTCTCTGTTTCCATTATTTCTAATCAAGCTAGTTTTTCCCATTCATGGGCAGAATGATTTAGATTGATTTACCAATCAGCTATCTACATCCTAATCTACATCCAAGTTATCATTTGGAACTCAGCTCCGTTTATTTCAGCAAAGCCTAAAGTAACTTGTTTTTACTATGGTGGTCTAAAACGCAGATAGAAAATGAGAAACAAGCTCAATACTAAAGAAGTGAGGTCACCTCTCTCTATAAAACTTTTTATCGTGCCTTACCAGTTTGTAGTTACAACAACCTAAGTTACAATGAAAAATGTAGATTAGCTTTATTTTGTTTGCTGGAGGCCTTTTCTTTGCTAATTCAGACACGTATACACAGGGAATATTCTCAGATCTTAATTAGAGGGGTGGGGATGTTGAATTTTCAACAAATGGACTTCTCCCAAGTGTTTTAGTTAAACGTGTGTTAAAAATAAAGAGCTCTGAACAGCCTGAATAGAAATTATATCCCCTTTCAATCATGCTAACCCAATTTAGTACAGGTAATGTGACCAGCCAAGACCTAGATTTCTAAAATAAAATAGAGAAGTATATTATTTTTAAAATTGAGATAATCTATTGTATTTCAAACACATGGGAAATAATTTTCAACTATTTTATCATTAATATTTCTTCTAAGATACATTAATAGTTTTATACCCCATGTTTACATTCTGATTTGTTAAACTGTTATGAAAATAGCTATGAGAAACATTATTAAATATCACTATACATCGTTCTATATCATCAAACATGAAAATTAAATGTTTTATATTGGCTGACATAAAAGGAGACATTCAAATTATTATTATCTTCCACTTTGTACATAGAAGACATAAGGATCATTATGGGAATGTTGAAAACAAGAAAAATATTTAGAATATTGTCAGTATCATATAATACAAAGTCATAATCTGTCTTTAGCCATTTCATTGGCTAAAAGGCCACAGACACTTTAACAACTGACATTGCTAGTTCTGGCTCCAAGAATTGTGTTGTTATTTGGCTGAGTTTGAGTACATTCTATGCTAGTAGATCAAAAGCAGAGGTTGGAATATGTTGCAAAGCAAGCTGCTGCTTCTCTTGCACAGTTAGATGTTAGACGTGCCTTAGCTTGCCACTCAGAGAAGATCCCAGCATGAGAGAAAAAGTATAACTGAAACTAGAATCCATTCTCAATATCTAAAGAGATATTCAAAGAAGCATTTTAAACAATGCACTTAAAATGTGTCATTTTAAATATTCAATTGTTTCTTTTAAATAATTTTTAATTTAAAAATAAATATATTTTAATGATTTTGCAATAGCACAAATGTATGTGCATTTCTCTGCAGATTACCATTTGCATCAAATTACACTTCCAGATTTTGAAATATGATGAGATAGAGAGAATATTACATATATTACTATAAAAGCTTTAAAAAAAACCATTTTACCTTCCAACTAATACACTTTAAAAAATCTTTCAAGGATTCAATGCTTCCTTGTTACCAATCCTAATGTAATTGTAAATACCTTTCACTTACATTCACTTCTCAAAATTTAAATCTTCCCATATTTGTTGTCCTTTCATTTGAAAAAAAGACATTAGGAAACATACAAAAGATTTAGAAAAAGTCAGCATCCTATATGTCACTAAAAAGGGAAGAATCATATTACAAAGACAGCATCTTTTCTATTAAAAAAAAATTAAAATTCTTAAGCATGCAAAAAATAACTGTAAGTGGTCTCATTAAAAAGCGACCATTCCATGGTTAACAGGGTTTAAAAAATACAATAAATGCACAAAAAATCTATTTCTGCTCAAGATTGGGAAGTACTAATACATACAAGCCTGTCTCAATTTAATATTCAAATAAAAGCTATTATTATATCAATCCAGCCTATGAATAAAATTTCATATGAAAACATTTAAAGTACATTAGATTTTTGATCAAGATGAAAAAAACCAAGCAATCTATTTTAATTGGGTTCCCATGGTAACTGTACAATTGGGTTTTTCAATGTAACATCCCAAAGGCCCAATGCGTACTTGTAAAATATACTTCAAACAGCCTGAATTGTTTTTACATTACAGCACTCCCTGGAAGATCAATTACTGTTCATCCCCACCCTAACTATTAGTGGCACACATTGTTAACACTATTGGCCATATTAACATATGTCATGTAAGAAACACCACATCTAGCCATAATTATTTAAAAACTAAGCTGCATACTTTTAGACCTTCAAACACATTTTATATAAAGCCAATACCAGTTGTCATGTTTACCAAATGTAGGAAATCAAACTAAAATATATGCCAAGCAATTTAACTTTTTATATTGATTTCAAGCATAGAATCAATCATTAATAATTACATTATAAGATGACCCTCAAGGTTAATCATATTCTTAGAGGCTCTCACTATGGAATTATCAACAACCACTAAACGGAGATAACTGAAAAGAATTCAAATCCATCTTTTAAATATTAATGGCACAATATAAAACAAAGCATACTTAGTAACAGAGGACTGTTTTATGTGCAATAATTATAGCAGCAATCTTTGTCTCCTTCCTATTCATGAACACTTCACTCAACTAGCTCCAATTTCAAGGAGCAATAGTTTAGGCAACAATCCATAAACCATCTGTATTTGTACTCGCTTTACCTTTACTCCACTGGATACAATTTATTAAGTGCTGTATCTACCAAGTTGCTACTTATAGTTCCAGTTTTCTTTTACACTACAGTAATGTAGTTACATTATCTAGGCAAAGTGTTTTACTTAAATACATTGGAAAGTCTTCTTCTTGTGCCATATCCATCATCGGATGTTGGCGATCCTATTTTTATGAACAGCCGCACAAAAAAGTGCTATTGAGTTTTGTTTAACCAGTCCCTTAGATTTTGAAGCCATGATGTTCTTCTTCTGCCTTGACCTCGTTTGCTTTCAATCTTTCCTTGGAGTATTAAGTGAAGTATGCTGTATTTTGGGGGGTATCACATCATATGTCCAAAATATTCTAACCCTCATTGGAAAGAGCTTAACACAGCTCTAACAGAGAAAATCCAGGTAACTGGGCTAGTAAACACTTTTAAGTTTGCATAAAAGATAATGATAGCCATTAGATTCAACTTTCCCAGAAATTATTTCTGCAGATAAGCCCATCAGTAAAAATGCTATTTTCATAGAAATGAGTTACACAATTGTCAAAATCCACTTCACAATTCCCTTTTTATTTGTAATTTCCCTGAACAGCAATGATTATATTCAAAAACACAAGCCTGCAATAGAGTATTGTGTAGAAATGCTGAAGCATCTAAATGTTTTCAGTACTTAAAATAATTATTTCATTGCTTGCACTTTACAATGATTGATCTAAATAACCATAAGACAATTTAAATATCATTATAACCTCAATTGATCAGTCAGCATCTTGCAGTGTTACAAGGCAATGTTACTCTCTCTTATTGACTAACAAGACAAGGTTGCAAGAACACAGCTTGCACTCACTGAACAATTAGCATGTCTTCTATCAGCAATGTTTCACTTTCCTAACATAGTCAAATAATATACAATCTGGTATTATCTAGTTCTTGGGAAATGTTAAAAATATTGAGAAACCACAGGTCTAACCTAAAGAATGAACAGATATAGTATGAGAACTTTATTTCTTTTACAGAACAAAAGCAAGTAATATCAATAGGATCTGTGGGATACAAAATGCACCTTAGACTCACAGATATTTAATTTTGGATCATTTTCCTCAATAAATAATGTGTAAGTATAATGATTTTGACTCATTTCTTTAATGTGGAGAAAAGATCACATTTCAGGTCACATTTGCAGAAATACTGAAGGTTCAGAAACTTTTAAGCACCACATCAACAGATGTTGCTAATCTAATAATGCAGTTATTCTGGATGCATTAAGAGCTTTAAGTGTATAAGAAGTGGGACAGCTATTATTAATTTCATATACTACCATCCTGTGCCAGATAGCTTCACTTCCTGTCACTACCTTTTTCCACACAGATTCAGTGCCAAACAGAATCAAATATTCTTAGACCAGGCCAAAATGTTACATAAATACTTACCAGATATTTTCTGCTTTACAAGGCCAGGAAGGATCCGTCACATTTCTGTTGATTCAAAAAGGAAATAAGACAAGTCTTAGAATGTGCATCTTGGGACTTAACTTCTTGCTTGCAGTGCAGAACTATGCTGTTACTCACCAAATACAGGGCCATGGTTCTAACAGGTTCTGTGAAATCTGACAGAAAATTCACATATATACCAGTGGACCTGATATAAATACTGAGCTCCTTGGGGGGGGGGGGGGGGTTAGAGTAAGGAAGCACAGAACAGGTATAAAGCCAGAAGTATAATTGTTCCAAAAAAAAATTATGAGTGATTGGTGTGAGTGGGAAAAACAGTACACTTAATTAAATCAGAACAGATTTTTTTTAAAAGTATTTCACAATGCATGAATATAAAATGCTCTAACCTAAACCTGACTATAGCCCCAACCTAAATTACATGGGAAGAAATAAACTCATGTTAGCCAAAACAATGGCTATTACCATTTCAGGTTTGCA